ATAAATTTCTAGAGGTATATAACTGCATCTATATAGCTGCTTACAACAGTTCAATTACCTAATCCTACTCTATCAACCTCAGAGGTACGGCTATTTGCTCTCAATATCTGCTGTTTGTTTCTGGATCAAAGCTCATGCCGAAAAGGTCTGCTCTCAACCAGCTCTCAAGAAATGGATTGAGACTCGACCACAGACTATGCTCTAGTTTCGATTCTGATGAATTTTTGCGATTTGGTAAAATTTTCAAAAAACCTAAAATCCAAGCACTTAATTCAACAGCTGCAAAATCGAAGTTAAATAGATTGTCGGTCAAATGTTTACAGTTGGATTTCGCAATAAGCATATTCTTCAGAAATAAACATGTCTGACGATAGAGCAAATGAGGTTGACTATTCAGCAGGATATTTCAAGGTCCATTCTTGGAACATAGGGTTATGGTAATCAGGCCCGTGAATATCGTCTTAATTTGTTTCTTATAGATTTCTATAAAAAAACGTTGTTCTCCCGCATACGTTTTCGTCATATTAGCAGCGAGAAATACATGCGGATGAACTGTTAAAACCAGAAATTTTCAATAACAACGTTTAGAAAAAGAAAAACATTGGAGTCGAGCTCCAGTTAATGTGATTCCTTTTAAACAATAACAAACTTAATAATACAAAAGATTAGGAAGCCCACTTCAATTTAGCTCGACAATTTACTTGCAGAATCATTATTTCTATCTCTCTTTGTTGCAAAAATGATGAGAACCCACACTGTCCTGCTGTTTGGTCTATGATGTGTCGTGTGTGTGTGCTCTGGGAGTTGCGATACGCGAGCAAAGTCGATCTGTGGTTGACAACGCTGACAATTACTGATTACTAACATGATATAAAGAAAGTGTTGGCCGATCTACTGGAATTTCGCACTAGTAATGAAATCAATTTTAATCGCAATTGCGTCATATATTGAACTACATATCCGCTATATATAGCCTACTCTTTCTTTGGCCTTTCATCTTCGGTCAATGCAGTGCTCGTCATTTGCCTATCTTCTGTTTGTAAAAGCAGTCCTTCATTTTCTAAAGAATCCCCATAGATGTTGATATTTGAATTTATTCGGTATCTTGCAGTAACCTACCGTTTCTCAATGGTACGATCTTCGGCATTTTTGATCGTCTTGGTTTTCAAAGGCGTGCTTACTCATCTCCACGTTTGCCCAGCAATTTTTTCCAGTTTTTTCAGTTTGAACAGAACTACCAATTTTCGCATCTGTCCAACAAGAAATTGTGCGGAATTAATTGCTGCATAATGATTATCATTATTATTGCAAAAAAATTCGGTCAACTCATCGCTTAGCAAAAAATTGATTTTCTTTTTCCTTGTGCCGTGTCGAAGACGATAGGAACATCCCATAAAGATATCTATCAAAAATAAGAATAGGCTAAGGCTCTTTTGGACAGAAAAAATTAAGTCACTTGTAGGTTTTGATTCAAAATGCGAAACAAAACTATGAGCAAAAAAATTTGCTCAATGTGGATTAAGCGCCTATAGGCGTTTGAGCTTAGAACTTAATGCGCTAAGATATACGCAATCTCCAAAAGTTCCTGAATTTAGGACGTTAAAAAGCGGCTTTCGTGCCGAACTGGGAAGAAATTTCTGCATCAAACTACAATTTCCGCCAGTCTATCTATAAGTCATATTTTCTGTAGTCACATCGAAGAACTGAGGCTGCCACTGTTACAACTGCATTTGTCGCCGTACCTTGTTAATGGAAAAAAAAATAACATTTTCGAAAGAAAACTTTCCATGCCAACAAAT